CTCTCCGGATGCTCTAAAAAAGTAAATATATTCCAATTTGGTGTGAGCGTAAGAGCCTGTGAGCGTACACGTTGTCCGATCTATAGGTTTTCTTCCAATCATGCAGCTGGTTGGCTATTGATGTGAGTGACGACTTTGGCCTCTTCATTTGTTTTGTTCTGCGGCAAAGTTCGGTTTCTACAACCTTCTGGATTGATGGTGAACGATTGCAAACCCGCGTTATCTGAACCGGCGTTTGCTAATGTATTGCGGTCTTCAAAGGCTTTGTATGGTGATGACGTCTGCAAATGTCCATAGACCTTACTACTTGTTGAATGTACCTTTAAGCTTGGGCAGATGAGAACAAACAAAAGCCAAAGACAATTTTTGGTTTATGTTGTCCATTGATATTTTACTTGATAGATCACATATGATATGCACTTCAGGTGTCTTTTCTTAAAAATAGGGATATTCCATCATTTATAGTGTTACTAGAAGTTGAGAGGACAAAGTCACGTTTAGGCCTCGAATGCGAACCACACTATGAGCCCGATGTGTGCAAATCAGGCCGGTCTCAAATTGAGGGACAAAGTAGGGGATTCAAGACGTCTGCCATGTTGGCCCGACAACTTGGCCCCACCTCGCTTTTTAATCATCCTTCCTCACTCTCTTATAGTCCACTTCCCTCCCAAACCCCTAGTCGTCGCCCCGCCACGATGGGCAGGAAGATGGCAGAGGAGTAGTGCCCGCAACCAGATAATGCGGTATCTTGGCGGCTACCGGTCCAATGTGCCATTGCCTCGCCGCGGCGGCAGATTCGATGGAAGCTCGAGCCCAATCCACGCCATCATGGAAATACATCGCCATCATGTGCTCGCTTGACGAGCCTTTATATCACGCTTGCGCCATCGGTCTTCAAGGAGGAGCTCATTGATGGCATTGACGTCGGCTGGACGGAGCTCAAACAGGAAGGGGACTGGCCGCTACGACCCTCGAAGACGCAGATGACGCTGGTGCACATTCTCACAGACCCAGTGCTCATGTAGCCTGGGTGCTGGACCGGTCGAAGACGACCAAGGAGCCCGACGCTCGCTGCCAGCACAGAGACACATCGCTGCCACATGCTCGCCCGCCCGCGCAGCCTCGACGATACGCTTCACTAGCCCCCTTGTCTTCCACCGTGCAATCCATCAAGGAGGAGCCCATCGACAAGGAAGGTGATGACATCGACATCAATTGGGCGGAGGTCGGGCGGGAGTAGGACCCGTCGCTCCGGGCCCCGATGACAAAATCGGAGTTCGAGCAACAACTCCGACTAGTGCTTCATAACTCGATGCTCGGGAAAATATCAGGTGATACCATGCCTTAGATGCTCCCATGATACGAGCTTCTGGTCCGTCGGATCTCAGATCCAACGGCTCCTAGTAGGTTCTGAAAGTTTGCCATACTTGTTCGCAATTTTTAAACTTCAAAAGGCCTTTTTTGCAAAATGTTGAAAGCCTTTCGGGAGCCGTTGGATCTCAGATCCAACGGCTCCTAGGAGCTCGTATCATGGGAGCATCTAAGGCTCCGTATCACCTGATGATACTCTCCCCTCGATGCTCGTACAAGGTCCGCACCAAGCGTCGTCCCCGCCGCCTCATCCATATCGGACATCCCGTCAAGCAAGAGCGAGAACAGGTGCGTTCACCTACAACCTTTCCCCTCCGTCGGGCATCCACCTGATGTTTGCCGTTCGAAATGCCTTCACCCTGTCTTTGTACAAATTCACGAAATAAGCTCTACCATTTTGAACAAACAATCCTCACCCTCCATATTTTGTCTAGTATTTATACTGTTTTTGTTATTATTATAAAATAGAAAATGACAGATGAACGTTCTCCTGAAAGAGAAATAGCTCCTGCCCAGCCCAAGCAACGCAAAAGGCAAAAGGCACCTCGCGCCGCCGTGCTTTCTCCACCCACCCCCATTCCCCCCACATAGGGCCAGCTCCCGCCGCTCGGAGTCGGGATCGCTCCCCAAATCCCCCACCCTAGGGTCGCTCGCCCCGAAGTCAAACAACAGACAGCGCATTTCCTCGAACACCTAGCCTCCCTCCATGGCCACCTCCGCCCTCGCCACCCTCTCGGCCACCGCCGCCGCCGCGGGGGCCAGGCGCGCCCTCCTCTCGCGCGGCCCCTCCTCCTCCCTCTCCTTCGCCTCCCGCCGTCTCGCGCCCGCGGGGTCCCTCCGCGCCGGGCCCCTGCCCCGCGCGGCGACGCGGGCCCTCTCCGCGACCGCGTCCCCGGCCGCCACAACGGCCATCGCGGTCGGCGACCGGCTCCCCGAAGCGACGCTCTCCTACTTCGACGCCCCCGACGGCGAGCTGAAGACGGTGACGGTCCGCGACCTCACCGCGGGCAAGAAGGTGGTCCTGTTCGCGGTCCCGGGCGCCTTCACGCCCACCTGCACCCAGAAGCACCTCCCGGGGTTCGTGGCCAGGGCCGGGGAGCTGCGCGCCAAGGGGGTGGACACCGTGGCCTGCGTCTCCGTCAACGACGCGTTCGTGATGCGCGCGTGGAAGGAGAGCCTCGGCGTCGGCGACGAGGTGCTGCTCCTGTCGGACGGAAACGGGGAGCTGACGCGCGCCATGGGCGTGGAGCTGGACCTGTCGGACAAGCCGGTGGGGCTCGGCGTCCGGTCGCGCCGCTACGCGCTGCTGGCCGACGACGGCGTGGTCAAGGTGCTCAACCTCGAGGAGGGCGGCGCCTTCACCAACAGCAGCGCCGAGGACATGCTCAAGGCGCTCTGAGGCCTGAATCGCGACCCCCCTCCGCTCTCGCCACGGCTATCGTCGAGTCGTCGTCGGCTCGGTTCGTCCTCTGTTTCCTGAAGGCCTTTTTTTTGCTTTGTTTTTCCTGAATAATAATAATAATCGGTGCGGCAGCGGCGGCCTGGCCTGTGTGTGCTGCTGCTGTCACCTTGATGTGAGGTGGCGAGTACTGAGTAGTGCAGCGTAGCTTTGTGAAGTTTCTGGAGAACTACGAGTCGTGGCCGTGTCCTGGTTCGCAACCTGGCATGGAATGGAATGTCAACTTTTGCTTGCTGTTTGCATCGTATCATAATGAATGATTCGTATTCATACACATCCGTGTCGTGATGGCACGGCTGGAGTGGAGTACCGTGGCCCCGTTTATGCAGGAAAATTAAGGCTGTGATACGCACCAGCGTTGCTAACAGGTTGTGAATCTGTGATGATGGCTATGTTAATGGGACATGCAGTGTTTCTTCAACATGATCCAATAAAGAAATTCGTCAGTTTTCCATGAAGCTACAGCCAGCGTCACGGTGAAGATTCAGCAAGCCAGGAGCCATCTGCCTCTTGGCATGAACAAAGGATCTTCCTGTTCTTTTCAAACCTTATTAAATTTCAACAGCGTGTTCTTTATATATATATATATATATATATAACTAGAGTAGAGAAATAGAGATCGAGAAGCCCAATGCTGATGCTGAGTGGCCGAACAAACAACCTGAAACTGCAGGTACACGGACGGGCGGCCAACATAAACACACTAAAGCTGAGATGGAAACAAGTAGTTTTGTCTAAAGAACAACAGATCGCCCCTGAAGATGGTGACTTACACAGGATCCATAGTTTGACTGTTCGGCAAAAACTCCATCTTTTCTTTCAAGAAATGAGTACTACCTCTCTAAACTAATATAAGACCTTTTATATTAGATCACTAACGGAGAGAATAGTATGTTTTTTATTGACCTACTAAAAAAACGTGTCAGCTCCAACAAGCCAAAAAGACATATTCGTCGAACAAAAAAATTTGTTTGTCAACCAAAAAATACGAACAAAAACACGCATGGACTTGCTGCACGAACAGAACTTTCTATGGATCACAATTAACCCAAGGATGCTGAGCGAACAGCGACCAGCACCATACAAAAGATGAATAAACAGAGGAAATATACAAGCAGCGATGCAGTGAGCAAGACAGGCGCTCAGCAAAAATTCAGGGACCAGCAAATTTGAGCCACATAACTTGTGACCTAACTGTTCATCAAATTACTACATGTATTTCATTCTTTCTTTCTATGTAGTGTCCCTTAATGCTGCCAGCAGTTCTCTAGCTACTACTGTATGTACTTGACCAGAGATAAAAGCAGATAAAGCAAGAATTATCTTGCATTACTCATCCAAAGCATACCATGCAAAATACTCTTTTGCACCGAAGAGTAGTAATGAACTATCTGTCTGATAGCGAAGTCATTCCAAATTAACTGACTAGGTTATAGAAAAGCACTGGTCATGCTTTTGCACCAACCAAGCATAGATGCAGCTATAGAAAGCAGAGAGTAGCATTGTTGACGCTGAGCAGTGAGCATTACAGTACTAAAAATGACTTGTATGTAAAAAGATGGCCTAGCAAATTTGCAGTCCAACCGGAGATTCTACCAACCAAGCTAGCTGAGTAGAGCAAAGATATCCATGACTAACTGTGAGAGTTTTAGAGATGCCATCAGCTAACAGAACAGACAAAATGAGACTACTTTAGATCATCCCTAGAATAGATGCAGTCTTACCTGATAGCCTAAAGTCTAGATAACAAGAACTGCCATTGCTAAAACTACTTGATGACAGAAATCCTGGGAAGACCAACCACCATTCGTGGAACACTAGGTAAGCATCACGGAGCAAAGGCGCTGAGCATAGAGATCAACTCCTTCATGATAGCGGGGCAGCTTTGGCGCAGATGCTCAAAGCCGTCACTGGCCATGGCCGCCTTCAGATTCGCCTGAGAACTGAGAAAATCGAAGCATGCCTTCTTCAGTCCACCGCAGTGGTGTTGCTCAGCTAACACCAAGATTGTGGCCACAGTGCTCACTTGGATGCACCTGCAAAGTTTGTCTTCGCAGATCAGCTTTAGCCTGTCCAAGTTATACCTGTCGGCTGCGACCAGCAGATGTTGAGACATGGCGTCTTCCCCTGCTTCCTCCCTCTTCATCTCTGGCAAGGTGTCGGTGTACACAAAATAGAGCAATGCCTTGAACACCTGCGCATCCATGTCATCTATTTTGACGACGGCCGTCGTGTCGACGCTCTCCTTCATCTCGCCAAAGAGCTCTGCACTGAACACCGGCGACCGGGCCGCGATCAGGCAGCGGTGCGCCGCGAAGGTCTCGCCTCCGGCCTCGAACACCACGTCGGCGCCCTTCTCTGCGAGGAGAAGGTTACCCAGGTGCATGTGAAGGTCGGATGGGGGAACGGTGACGAATGTCGGAGGGGCGGGCTCAGGCGTCTCCACCGCGCGGAAGTCGCTGACGACGATGAGGTCGCACCGGACGGCGAAGGAGTCCCCCCTGAGATGTTTCGATTTCTCCAGGGCCTCCGCTCGGATGAACTTGGAGTTCCCCCAGCTCGCCAGGCCGGCGAAGTTGTTCAGCGGCTCCGCCGCCAACGGCAGCGCCTGATTCTCCGCCTCGCCGGCGAAGCGGAACTGGTGCTGCGCCCTCACCGTCCTGGAGGTGTTTTCCGCGAGGACGAGGCGGAGGGATATGTAGCCCGCGTTCTCCGCCTGGTCGCCATTGGGGTAGTAGAGGACGAGCCAGCGGTGGCCTCCCACGGTGAAAGGGCAGGACTTGAGGGACTCGCCTGTGGGGATGCCCTTGGTGCGCGAGTAGAGGTCGATCGTGAAGTGGTGGGATCCGGTCGCCGTGTCGGCGACAAGGGCGGAGGCGGACCGCGATGGCTTGCCGCCGGCAGCGGTTGTCGACATGGCTAGTGGGGGATTGGGGTTCCGCCGCTCTGGTGTGGTAGGGTTAAGGGCAGGGAGGCAATAATAATGCAATATACATCGCTTTTTTTTAGAATAGCCAATATACATCGCTCGTGCGAGACGTAAGTACAAGTCGGTTACTGGGTCGGCCCACTTAACAACTTTTTTTTAGGTTCACTTGACAACTTTGACCGTGTCATTCATACCCCTCGTACGGAAAATGTTCCTTGGACTAACCGGGTCGCAAAAAGGGTAGAAAATGCAGAAGAAAAAAAAAATCTTTGCGAACGTTTTCTATTATAACCAGTTAATCACTGTCTTTATTAAACAACCATAGAGACTGAAAAAACAAAGTGCATTGCTTCCCTCTCGATAGGGTTTTCTTCCTCTCGATGGCCGCCGTCGTCGTTGAGTCTCTGCGTCCTTCCCGCTCTGCCCCGCCTTGGAGGCCACTCGGGCAGACTCGGGGATGGTCCCTGCACCGTTCCCCGGCCTTGGTGGTCTGCTGGGTGGAGTTTCGGGGCAGGGTTCTCTCGAAGTCTGATTTCTCTCATCGGGCTAGGGTTTCAAGGATGGTTCTAGATGTTTCAATCTCGATGGGGGCGCCCCGTGATGCGGAGCATCATATGGACATCACCATGTCAAGAGTTCATTCGGCAAGTGACACGTGCGACATCTACTTCACATACATAAAGGTGAATCCTCTCCTTTACACGTGCTCACTTGACCCCTTCGAGGATGGTATACCACTTGACCCTCCATCGTGCATGCATAGGTATTGTCGGAGCTTCACGAATGTCGAGGAGGAGTGCAAGCGCCAAGGAACAACTACACCATCCACGAGGGAAGCATGGAAGAGAAGGAAGAAGAAGCCTGGACAAGTTTCTGGAAAGCCCGGAACTTCCGGCCGCTGCGCGGAACTTCCGGCCGCTGCCCGGAACATCCGGCCCCCGGAACCTCCAGCCGTCCCGGAACTTCCGGCCCCGACGCATCGAAGCCGTCCGAGAGTGTGCCAACTCTCTGGATAGCCCGGACCTTGGCCGGACCTTCGCCCGGACCTTCCGGCCGTCCTCGGAACTTCCGGCCCTGCCTGCGCGCAGACACTCGGGCCGAAGCCCATGTACCCTTTCGCCCCTCACTTACCCCTTCGTGGACCTAGACTATATATACTCCTCCACCTCCTCCTTTCTAGGGTTAGCGTTGTGATAGCTCATTTGACAGATAGAGCTACGCTCATCCATATCGGATCTACTCCACGAGAGAGACCGCGGCCTCTACGGAGAAGATCCCTTTGGATTCAAGACCTCCTTTTGGAGAAGAACTCAAGACCTCCTCACGAAGAAGACCGGCTACCTATGTATCCTCCCTAGTTGATTGTGTATCGTGTACCTTCCTTTGTGTTCATGGTTGTAGCGCATGTGTGATCATACTTGTTGGTTTGAGTGTTCTCTTGTGTTCCCCTCGTGATTTTTCCCTCGTTTCCCTCCTCGTGTTCTTCGCGTTCTCCGCGGGATCCGCTCCTTTCGTGAAAGATCGGCCTATAGGGTTCTACCCTACATCATCTTGGTATCATGAGCCACGTTGATCACGATTTCGGAGCCTCCCCTCTTTGTTTGCTAGCCTAATTTTGTTGATTTTGTCCCTAATTTGAAAATCCCCACAAAAATAGCCCCAATTTTTTTTTGATTTGTTGGTTTGGATGATGTTTTGTTGATTTTGATCCATGGACTCGTGTCTCAAGTGGATCTAGCATTCCCCACCTTTTCCTCCATTTCTATCCACAAAATCTTCCCAATTTTGACCTTGGAAATCGAGTTTTCCCGCCCCCATTCTCAGATCTGGAATTTAGGGTTCGCCCCGGAAGAAATTCCACGACCCCCGGAACTTCCGTCCCCCGGAACTTCCGGGCTAATAGAGAGTTTACCCAAAATCCCCCGGCTTCCCCAAGACTTTTTCCGCAACCCCCAGAACTTCCGGCCACCCCCCGAAACTTTCGGAGCCCGGAACTTCCGGCCTAACCCGAAACATTGCACAGAATTTCAGCATCACCCTCTTTCACCGTTTTGGTCACAACGTTTCGCTCCAAACTCTGATTTGAGTGTTCTTTGGCTCGTTTTGAAGCTATCGACGTGCCCGGGGACCTCACCTTGGTTTCACCACCTTTTGACCCCATCAATTTTTTGGAATTTTGGCATCTTTGCCTAGGCCTTCCACCATATATATCATCCGCTACACCATCACCGACTTCCACAACCTAACCAATTTTGTTCCCCATCGCATTAGTGGTTGCTTGAGGAGTGATCTGAGTCTCCTAAGGTGTCTAGGATACTTAGGGACGATTGCTTCTTCATCAACCACCACCACCACTTCCGCATAGGCTTGACCATTATACACTTCCGCCACCCCAACTTAACCCAATTTTGTTTGTGTTGTGAGTTGTGTCTCCTAAGGTGTTTCGGCTACTTAGGGACCGTGCTTCCAACTCTGACACCGTGTATAGTACACATAACCCAATAACCCTCCACTTCTGCATTGTCTACTCGCATAACCCATCATTGCATTGTCGCAATCCCATTGAGCTTCCGCAACACCACCACCGCATCCCGCTACCACCATTTTGACATTTGAGATTTTGAGTTCACGGTTTTCCCGTTTCCTAAGGTGTTTTGGCTACTTAGGGACGAGTCTCCATCATCTTGGTATCTCCATCAAGATCACCGCCACTCATCATCGACACGGACGGTAACGTCCATATCATCTTGGTATCGTGGTATCCCTCCATTGTATATTCCCTTGCCATTGCATTGTTAACCCCTAGCCCATTTTGTGTCACTTGCCTATCGAGACTAGCCTTTGAGTATTGTCGGCAACGTTACTTGTGCACATTAGTGGTCTACACCTTCCATTGCATACATACCATACCATATCATATTGGTATCATATCATCCCTTGTGCCTCAAGTTTGTTCCCGCATATACGCAATAGCTATCTTGGTTTGTGCATTGTGCAAAAGTGGCCATACATATCAAAAAAAAAGAATAAGCTTTTAAGCAAAGAAAAAGAGAGAGCAAGAAGCTTGTAAGCAAGTGCCATAGCATCATACCACATTGCATAAGATTGTCATATCCGATCATCTTGGATCATACCACCGGAACATCATATACATAGCATACTTGGGATAGAAGTTGTTGCATTTTTGTCTCCTATAGGTTGTGCACAAGTGTCGTATCCGCCTATTGAGAAATCGTGCTAGCGTCTCTCTAGAGTTCTGCAACAAGAGCATTTTCCGTGGATTCCACATTTTGAGCTCATTCCTTGGTTGCACGACCCCATTTATCTATCCGTGTGTGTGTTTTCGTGTGCCATTCATTGCTATTGGTCTACTTGTTTCACTTGCGAATTGGTGAATCTCTTTCAACATTATTGACTCTTCCTAACATTTTGCATCAAATTTTTGTGCCACTATCCTCACCGAGCTCCACCATAAGCCTTATTTGTGTAGGTGTGAGAAACCAACAAGAATTGGTACCAATTGTGCTACTTTCTTGTTACATCATTGAGTGATCATTGATCCATATTCAACATCTGTCAAGGTACATTTGGTATAGTTCTTCTCCTTTCTCCACTCACATTTGCTCGAGTCTTGTGATGGATAGGCAAGGCATTTCACCTTCGGTCTACAATAACAACGACGAGTTCGATGCCACGAAAAACTACACCGACGCCAAGATGCAAGCTCAAATGGAAGAGATCAAAGCCCTCATCAAGTTCTACAAGAGATCTTCCTCATCTTCGAGAAGACGCTCAAGTACACATGCTTCCAAGCTACCGTCTCCGGCAAGGTCACATCGGCATCGACACCATCACCACCACGAATGTGAAGGTCAAGAGCTCAACACCAACAACCGCTCAACGACTTCACGATCTCCCTTGGCATCTTCGTCAAGCAACTTCAAGGCATCTTCGCCTATGGACATACGACATCTTCGCCCACAAGCACTTCAAGAGAAGCTCCCCAAGCTCAAGTCCGCGACTTCTACGAGCTACTACGACCTCGACACCGACCACAAGATTCCTTTCTATGGGACTCAAGAACCCGAGGAGTATCTCGAGTGGGAGCACCTAATGGACGACTACCTCAAGCTACATCAAGTTCCTCCCGAAGATCAAGTGAAGTGCGCCATAAGGAACTTCCACGACTACGCGTCCACATGGTGGCTTCACGCACCTATGGAGACCTACGACATGAGTTGGCCCAAGATGAAGAGAGCTTTCTGATACGTCCATTTTGCATCATGCTTTTATATCGATATTTATTGCATTATGGGCTGTTATTTCACATTATGTCACAATACTTATGGCCATTCTCTCTTATTTTACAAGGTTTACATAAGGAGGGAGAATGCCGACAGCTGGAATTCTGGGCTGGAAAAGGAGCAAATATTAGAGACCTATTCTGCACAACTCCAGAAGTCCTGAAACTCCACAGAATACCTTATAATAAATAATGAAAAATCCTCGCTAAAGATGAAGACCAGGGGGCCCACACCCTACTCACGAGGGTGGGGGCGCGCCCCTACCTCGTGGGCCCCCTGGTGGCTCTTCGATGACCATCTTCTCCTATATGAAGTCTTTCGTCGAGAAAAAAATAAGAAGCAACCTTTCGGGACGAAACTCCGCCGCCACGAGGCGGAACCTTGGTGGATCCAATCTAGAGCTTTGACAGAGCTGTTCTGCCAGGGAAACTTCCCTCTCGGAGGGGGAAATCATCGCCATCATCATCACCAACGCTCCTCTCATCGGGAGAGGGCAATCTCCATCAACATCTTCATCAGCACCATCTCATCTCAAAACCCTAGTTCATCTCTTGTATCCGATTCTTGTCTTCAAGTCCGGGATTGGTGCTAGTAGGTTGCTAGTAGTGTTAATTACTCCTTGTAGTTGATGCTAGTTGGTTTAATTGGTGGACGATCATATGTTCAGATCCTTTATGCATATTA